TTATTTTATTATTATTTTATTTTTTCTCTTATTTTATTTTTTTATATTATTAAATTATTTTATTTTATCTTTTATCCTATTCTTTTCTTACATAATTGGTAAAGTTGTTATCATACGACAAGGAGGTCACGGGTTCAAACCGTGGAATCAGCCTCTTGAAAAAATGCAGGTTAAGACTATGTACAATAGCCTTTGATAGGACGCAGGGGCAGAGCTAGCCCATCAAGTACGAGTTCGACTGAATTCAATCACTTTGGTCCAATCCATGTATTTGTCTTGAAAAATTAATTGAATATGTACAAATTATTAATTTAGAACCCAGTAACTTAAAAATATTAGCATCGCGAACCCATAAGGTTCAAGTCTTGGCTCCGCCTCTGAATTAGGAAGTTGTGGAGGTCGAGTATTAGGGTTGTAGGTTAGGAGGTAGTTGGGTCTTTCCTTACTTCGTACCTTTGTGAGGCTAGTCTAGTAGGGTTTTTGTGTGAGACAGCTAGTGACAATGTTGTGTCTTACTACTCTTTCGTTTCTCATAGTGCCCGGTCTATTTACTGGCTATCGGTTTTGCTTTGTATCTATCTTCTGGTTTTCATGATATTGTTATCTTTCCTATGATTTCTGTTGGTGATACTTATTGTCTCTTTTCGTCTTTTTGAGTCGAGAGTCTTTCAGAAACAGTCTCTCTACTCCTTCGGGGTAGGGGTACGGTCTGCGTACATACTACCTCCCCAGACCCCACTAATAAAATTTTACTGGGTCGTCGTTGTTGTTGTTGTTGTAAGGTTGCGTACAATAGATCATGTGATCTAGACCTTCCTCGTACTCGCGCATAGTACGAGCTTAGTGCACTGGATCACCCTTTTATCCTACTCTTTTATATATAATAATTCTACTATGTAGCAACCCTCCAAACAAGCTATTAATTGACACGATACTCAGCACAATATTTACCAAACAAATAAAAATTGAATTAAAAATGTAATTCTAAATATAAGGTGACAATTTTTGTGAGATGATCAAAAGAACAATGCCAAATAAATTGCGGATAAAGTAAACATTATCTATCCATTTCGACTCAGTCTTTTGACTTATGTCTTATAATATTTAATTTAAAAAATATACAAATTTAAAATATATATGAAAAGTTCTTTTGATTAACATTAATTGACAACCTTTAAAGCAATTAACAGAAATGGAACGAAAATTTAGGATAAATCAATTAGAGCGGTATTTCAAATAACACCAATAAGATAAGACAGTTTTAACTCTACTAAAAGTTGAGGATGTCAAATTTTAGAAATTCAGTCAAAAAAACACGATTTAAACGAATGAAAATTAGGAAGGAGTCAAAAACGAACTGTAGCGAAAGAGAAGAAGAGACCAATATGCAAACAGTCAAATGTTTGGATAAGAATGGGAAGACTGGGCCAATGGGCCTCAGTACTCTCTCTCCTCACGAATAAAGCTAAACCCGCTCCACAACAGACACGTCACCTCCCAAAAAAGAGACAGACACGTCACCTCCGTTTTCACCATTATCACTACTCTTGGTCCTGGATAAGAATCCCCCCCCCCCCCCCCNACATCCATTTCATATTCGCCCTTTTCACAAGTTGTTGACCTTTTTAACTACATTATTCGATATTCGATATTAAATAGTCTCATTCCCATTTTGGTTCGCTGTATTTAAGCTTGCAGTTAATTGATTGACATTAGATATTTTCGTAATCTATTTAAAGATTGCTAGTTCCTATTGTGGGCATATATCTTAAATAGTTGAATCTTTGGTTGGGTATAGCTCTCTATTTTTTGTTCACTCAAATCTTCAATGGCTACTGCAATGGGAATGTTGGGAGGTATTGGGGGTTGTGGGGCAGCCTCTGCATCTTTGTTTCGTTTGAGGAACATATCAAAGAAGAAGACCAAAAATAACAAAAATGGATTTCGGGTTTCTTGTGTATCTTCTACCGTGGCTGATCCATACAAGACGTTAAGGATTCAACCCGGTGCCTCTGAATCTGAGGTCAGAAAGGCCTTTAGAAAGCTTGCTCTTCAGGTATTTCTTTCTCCTTATATCCCCCCATCTAAATTGTTGATTTATGATTAATTTAGACCCACAATGAAAAAAAATATATCCTTTAATTGTTTTAATGGTGTTTACTGTTTAAGCTTGGTTATTGGATTTCTGGTTTAAGTCTGATAATTTGAAAGGAAAAGAGGCTAATTTGCTTCTACGAAGTTATTGCAGTTTAATCCGGTTATTGCCTATTTTAGATGCCTATAATAAAATGTTAATTAATATGATGTATTTAATTGAATTTCAGTATCACCCGGACGTATGTAGAGGAAGCAATTGTGGCGTTCAATTTCACCAAATCAATGAAGCATACGATGTAAGTTTTCCTGCATATTACTTAGATCTTATGTTGATTCATATATTTTATTTCTGCTTTTGGGTTGCTTTAATGGTAATATGTGAACAGTGTTGTGTGTGAAGTAATTTCTAATTCAAGTCAAGTAGGATGAATTATGTGATGTCTTTTATTCCGATTTTAAAGTAGAGAACATAAGAATATGAAAGAGCTATCCTACTGTAATGGTAGCTAAACATTTCTTGAGAACACATCAAAGTGGTGGACCCTTAACTTGTAGAGCTTGAATGGAATTTGACTTATTTGCATAAACAATGGCTTTACTTGGTATCAATCACTCCATTTGTTGGTTTTCTAACCAATTGATTGAACTTACAAACGTAGTAAAGTCTCTTTCACTAAAGTTGAAATCTGCCAATTACCTGATGTAATGTCACTATCTTTATTGCGTAATGAACTTGTACAAGTGGTTTTACCCTTTTATTATAATGAATTTGGATTTTAAATGGATCTTTATCATTAAATTGGTCTGATATTAATTAACCTTTAGGGGTCGTTTCGTACCTGAGGTAATGATAATAATCACGAAATAGAATTTGTGATTAATTTTATCTCAGGCTTGGTTTGGGGCTATTATTTAATTCCAGGATAATTTTTACACTTAAAGGGTGGGAGGTGGGATATCCCACTATTGTGACTTGTTTGGAACTTGGATGCAAGTGTTGCTATGTCTAATTTGGATTAGAACTGTGTATCTATATCATTAAATGGAGCAGAGATTAGCTGACCTTAATTACTTTCTACACTTAAAATCTCCTTTTTTTCTGATGGGGTGTGTGTGATTTGTGGTGCAGGTTGTGATGAGTAACTTAAGGGGTGAAACAAGAGGAGAGATGGAGATATATGAGGAGTATGATGACAATAATGATGAATCTATGAGAGGAATGAATGAACCAGATTGGGACATGTGGGAAGAGTGGATGGGATGGGAAGGTGCTGGTATTCGCGACTATACTTCTCATATTAATCCTTACATCTAATCTTAATGACTTTGGATTTGGAAATCATCTATTTGTCGAAAATCCAAAATTCAAAAACCCACCATCTTTGATAAAATCAAGAATGGTTTGAGGTTTCTGTACATAATTCAAGTGGGGATAGTTCTTATGTACATAGTTGGGATTCTCTCCTTATTTGTTCTTATTAACTCTGATGATGTGATATGCATCTCGTTCATAAATAAAGATGATCTTTTTTTAAAAAAAATTACTGGCATTACCGAGTACAACTTTGTAGTAGAAATAATGATGATGCTACCAATGAGAATAGCTGTTGATGGCAAATGATCAAAATTTGTACTATCAATCATCTTGAATGGAAATGGTTAGTCTAATGATTCTGAAAAAATTAATAAGACGACATCACCAATTGAAGTACCACTCTTATCATATTATAGTTAAAACTTGTGCTGATCCGAAATGCACAAGATTAAGGCTGTATCCGAGAATCCGAACCAATCCACTCTATTCGGATTTTCGATATTTTAAAATTTCGGATTCGGATTGGTATAATTTTAATCCGATCCGAAATTCGAATTATATGGATATGTATAAATATTAAAATTATATTTTAGTGTTAATTCTTGTTTTCTTTAGACTCTTCTTTTCTTAGTTTATATAACCTCCCTTCATATTGCTCTATCCGGTTCTCTTAAGTCTTACATTTATGTCTCTTCATCTCCCTATGAAAATTTTGTTGTCTATTACAATGGAAGACATTTGTTGCCTTTTAATTTAATAAAATGGCAAATAACAATAGCCTTAAAAAGTGTAGTAGCCGATTAGATTGTTAATAGCCTTAATAAGGTGTACAATCCGATCCAAAAATTCAAAATATTTACCCTATCCAAACTTTAAAATCCCATCCGATGCATTTTATAAAATTCGAAATCCGAATTTCCTTTGATCCAGAGATACTCGACACACCTTGTTAAGTAAAGAAAAAAGAAAACCTCTTCTGATTTATTTTGTGCTAATATTATACTGAATAATTTTAATTTAATTTGTTTATATAAACGTGCATATCTATTAATAAATTTAATTTTCTCAATTGTAGAATAACAATCTGAGACAATTCCTGTATTTACCTCATATATCAGTATATGTATTAATCTAATTTATCATAACTAGTCTATGAACAAAACGACCCATTAGTCAATTATATATAGTGATGAAGATGGTGAAAATGCAAGCATGTGAAAAATTGTTCCTTTGCTGGAATAGCTTTCGTTCACGCTTTTGAAGTGTTCAATGTCTGTAGTAAAGTGCAAGCTGCAGACACGGACGATTCGTAGGATACACTATCAATACGACTACTACTTTTCTAACAATATTGTCCTTGGTGAAATCATAACACTCATGAAACTACGATTCTGTCTACTTCCTGAGTAGAAACCTACACAACTAATGTGCTGAACGCCTAAACGCTCTACCTCTTATGTGACGGCCCTGATATTTGAATCTAAACAATGCAGGTTGTTTCTGCTCATTCAAAACGATAAAGTAATACAGCACGACCAAATGAAGTAAAAATCTCATCTTTTTAAGTTAATCCACGTGTTAATCAGTAGTGAACGTGACAAGAAAGGCTACATTCTGAAAAAAGTACACGCAAGGGAGATAGAGAATTGAATGAATTCCAATATGAAGATAACGAACACAAACTATGTTATTCCGTTGTGTCTGGTTTTGTATGAAATATAACACAAGTTTGTCCAAAAGAGAGAGGCATTTCAACATGTCCTCAGAGAATAGCATGCTCCTACCTCAAAAGCCTTAAGGAACTGACAGCGCAAACTTGATTAAACTAACTCTTTCTGTGGCATCCATTATTTAGCTGAAGCTGAACCAGCAGAGAGTCTCGCACTCCGTGCCTTATCAGCTTTTTCCAGGTAATCTTGGTGAGATTGTTGCTTGGAGCCTTCCAAAGAAAAAGGGAAAAAGAAGATTCATCAGTTTTCCACCCTTTCCTTGTATCCACAGATGGAGTGGAGTCGTCGGAGCACAAATGTATTTTATTGCTTCTTTAATCTAACAATGCTCCCGCAGCAGATAAAAAGGTTAAGAGGAATACAACAAATGGTCATACACATCGTCCATAGCTCGTAATGTAGTATGATTTTTTATCTTTCTAAACAGAACAAGGATTGGGAAAAAGAAAAGCAAAAGGAGGAAAGGAGAAAGGGTAAGAAAGCCACAAGAAGGGTCATACAACAAGCGAGTAACAAAAAGCTCTAATTTGGATCAGCATGATAGGGCATTCTTCACCGCTTTATTATTTATTTATCTATTTCTTTATATTCTAAAACTTGCATCCATCATTTCTTTCTTTTTTTTCACAATACCATTCCAAGAAATGAAACGAAGACCTACATACGATGTACAATAACATTAGTTACATAAAAGTTGGTATCAGAAGCTGAATTGACCATTTGAAATCGCAGTTGCATGTACTCCATACAAATAGATGAAAACCTAGCATAATAGGAGTAATAGGCAAACGTAATTGGATAACCATTTTGGATCATTATGCTTATAACTACTGTTAGGGGTCGTTTGGTTACCGGAATAAGGATACTAATCCCGGAATAAAATTAAGGATTGTATTTATCCCATTTTTAGTTATAGGTATTAGCTAATACTGGTATAAATTTTATATCAAAAAGATGGTATTAGCTATCCATATATAAGGTGGGATAACTAATCCCATCGGATATCCTTGTCCATCCCACAATTGAACCAAACAACCCCTTAGGATTCAAATAAAGCTTGTACATGGCACATCCATTTCCTTTTATATCTTTAGAGGAGTAGTATCTTTTAGTTATCGACTTGTGTACAGTTATAAGTTAGTTTCTAGCAATTGATTTGACCTAACCCCTTAACTACAAAATCCATAGACGGTCAAAAGCAAATAATATTGTTGTATCGGCACACTCTATAGGCCTACATAACCTTATTAACTAGGAACCTCTACGGCAATTATTTAGCTAGGGATGAGGGTAGTGCACCTATACCAACAATCTTTTGATAAAGAGCTATGCCAACAATCTTTTCATGAGATGAAGTTATTTAGAACAACTACCGAAAGAGAAATTTCATTTTAAAAGCATCCATTTCTTTCGAATCTTCTCTTACTATATGCAGATTGCCTTCGTATTCCATTTCAGTAAAATGATAAGTAGAGGGTTTCTTTCGTTCCACCTTATTCAGAGTGAATGCATTCCAGCCTCGTCAAACCACCTTACCTCATAAAGTCCCTCAAACCACCTTACCGACTTGTGTACAGTTATTAAGTTAGTTTCTAGCAATAGGTTTGACCAAACCCCGTAACGACAAAATCCAAAGACAGTCAAAAGCAAATAATATTTTTGTATCAGCACACTTCATAGGCCTACAGAACCTTATTAACTAGGAACTTCTACAGCAGTTATGAAGTTATTCAGAACCACTACCGAAAGTGAAATTTCATTTTAAAAGCATCCGTTTCTCTCGAATCTTCTCTTACTATTTACAAATGGACTTCCTGTTTCATTTTAGTTAATGAAAAGAAGAGGGTTTCTTTCATTTCAGCCTTATTCAGGGTGATTAGTATTCCAGACTTGTCAAACCACCTTACCACATAAAGTCCGTTATATACAAAAGCTGTACTGCCCATATATTCGGTTTTTTACATACCTGTTTCTACTATAACATAGACACATCCTAACAGCTTCCATTCCTAAAGTAATCAAAGAACAACCCGAATCAAACACTCCCCCTCCACCACCACCCTAAAGAACAGAAAAATATCTCTCTTTTATCTTCCTTTGAAGTAAAACTGAATAATTCAGCAGATGACAGCTCAAAACAACATTTATTTGTTTGTTGTAACAACTAGGCGACTTGGAACATATCAAATAATAAAATCAGCATTTGCTTTATTGCAACAAGCAGGCAAGAAGGGCATTAATTGTTGCCAGTTTAATTTAGTCTACCAGAAAAACAAAGAGACCACACTGCGACAACAATAACAATATAAATAAAGGACAAAATCCACACAAGAGGAGAAAATCAATGAGATTACCTAATCTCACAAGAGCTTCTAAATTTTCAATCCTTAAAGACATTTATGTATTATAAACTACAACAGGTTAAATTAAATATATAAGCTTTATTGGATGCTTCTTATGGGATGATCCGCTTTTTACTTTTCATGTTATAGTAGTCTCAGATCAGTAGCAGGGTAACAAATAAATGAGATTCAGATTCAAGGGAGGTAATTTGGAAGGCAGAAAAAATACCAACTTCCTATTGAGAAGTGGAATGACACAGCCCGATTGGAACAATTGGATATTAATGATTCATACATTAGACCCCAATTAGTTTAAGATGGAAACTTAATTAATTGTTGCTATACTGGGCGACTTGGATAAACTTATGTAAAATATTTGGGAAGAAAATTGACGAACCTCGGGTCATGAAGTACCAGGGAACGCCAAAGACGACGCTGATGACGGCGATGCCAGCTACGACGTGCTTCTTTTCGCCGCTATATAGGACATGCTCCAATTTTGCCCTGAACCCTCCTCCTCCTCCATTCATTGTCTTCGTCTCACTTCCCGTATTCTTCTCCATTTGTTTGCCCTTTCTCCTTTCTCTCTATTTTGCTTAAAACCCTTAAACCCTATCGATTTTCTTTTGCGAGTATTTCCCTAACAAGAGTAGGAGTATTCATTTTTAGTCCGAGCAGGCGGTTGGGCTTGTCGACCCCCTTTCGCTGCACGTGTTGACTTGTTCGTGGTGCAACGCTTCTTTATTTTTAGTAATTTTTTCCTATATAATATTTAAAACTTATTTAACAAATTGTCTTAGTTTTGTATATTATTAACCCTAAATAAGTTTTTATTACAATTTATATACAACTCATTATTAGTGCCTTAATTTGAGGGATTCAGTTACACCTTTTTTTCCTTTTTTCTCTCCTCTCCTCTTTCCCGATCCTATTTCCACATTACACGTAGTTGGGATATGCTAATTACTAACGTTCCGAAATTCATAGAATTTCATAAAATTAAAGTGTACCAACAAAAACAAGCAAACGTATTTAAGGTTCCATTACGTCACTTTAACCGTTTTTGAACTCTTACCCATACTGTCCCAACTTCAATATAAGATGTTCTAGATAAGTTGCATTGTCATACGTTATATGAAAATTGAAACTTTTTGCATTGTGTCATAGTGGGACAATAAGGACTGGTATAGATGTCGACTCAATAAATTTTGAAAGTGTTTGACTCTCCACCATTGATAGCCATTAAAAAGCTTTGAAGCTTTGAATTCGAATTTGGATTTTCAAAAACCATTATTTGTTTGGATTGAGTGTTGTTGCAAACAATTGGGAATATTGTTTGGAGTTTGTATCTCAATTTTGAGGGTGTTTGATGAAGATTAGACTTGATTTTGGTTGAATTTCAGATTGAAAGAAGAAGAAGAAGAAGAAGAAGAAGAAGAAGAAGAAGAACACATTACATATAATATACTTATGAAATTGTAGTAAAGTTGTAGTATAATTGTATGTAAATTGTATTTTGTTGTAGTTATATAATTTTTTTTTATTTGAATGTTGTATGAAAGTTGAAAAATAATTATATAATGTATGAATCGTTGTATAAAATTTGTATTTAAGTTATCAATACTATCTTTTTACATAAAGTTGTTGATATATATCAAAATTGTATTAAGAGAGTAAATTTTGATTGAAATTTTAGAGAGGAAGATGCATCCATACAAAATTCTATCTTTACTAGCATGACGGTCACGAGAGTGTGGACATGAAACATTTTGGACTTAGGATTTCCTTATTATTGTACCATTTCTTATGATATTCCCTTCTACATAATTCAGAAATGAAACATGAGAGGGTCCCAACTCCTACCCTTGTATAATCTGCATTGTCTAAACATGAAGTAGCAAAATATTATTCAAGCAAAAGCATTAGAAAAACCAAGTCAATACTATAAAACAGTGCCAATGGGGGCATTCATGCTCAAATCTGACAGAAGTAACTTGTTTGGTCATCTCAACACCATTGATATTCACTGGAAAATTTTATTTCATTTGTTGATATCATATAAATAATAGCACTGTCATTCCTAAAACCAGCAACTTTTAAGATACTTTACCATCAGGATATCATTAATATAAACCACTAAATATTCATACATTAGTATTACAGTTAGATCATTCATAAACAAAATAGGTGTAACGATTCGTCCGACCGTTTTGAGTATTACAACCCCGTTCTCCCATTTACTGCTTAATTTGTGCTTTACAGTTATTGTGTGACTTTTCGGAGTAATTGGTTCGGGTCCGGTGAGGTTTTGGAATGAATTGGAACATTTAGTTCAAAGGTTTAAAGCTTAAGTTCAAATAGTGACCGGATGTCGACTTATATGTAAACGACCCCGGAATAGAGTTTTGATGATTCCAATAACTCCGTATGGTCATTTCGGGCTTAGGAGCGTGTCCGATTTTATTTTTTTTGAAGTCCGTAGTAAAATTTGGCTTGAAATGGCGAAAGTTGAATTTTTGGGAAGTTTGACCGGGGAGTTGACTTTTTGATATCGGGGTCGAAATCCAGTTATAAAATTTTTTATAGATCCGTTATGTCATTTATGACTTGTGTGCAAAATTTGAGGTCAATCGGACTTGATTTGATAGGTTTCGGCATCGAATGTAGAAGTTGAAAATTCTTAAGTTCCTTAAATTTGAATTGGGGTATGATTCGTGGTTTTAGCGTTGTTTTATGTGATTTGAGGTTTCAACTAAGTTCGTATGATATTTTAGGACTTGTTTGGTATATTTGGTTGAGGTCCCGAGGGCCTCGGGTGAGTTTCGAATGATTAACGGATCAAGAATTGAAGTTGGGAGACTGCTGAAATTCAGTTTGCTGGTTTTTGGCTGATCTGGTTTCCTTCATCTGTCAAAAATCGAGGTCAAAATTGAGGTCAAAATCGAGGTAAAAAAAATTGAGGTAAAAAATCGAGGTCAAGAAATCGAGACCAGGAAATCGAGGGCAGCCCCTCGACAGAGACTTTAAGTTATAAAACGGGGTTTTCGTCCCATTTTCTATTTTTGACAATTTGGAGCTTGGGAAGAGGCGATTTTTGAGAGATTTTTAAGGAAAAATATTGGGGTAAGTGATTCTAACTCGGATTTGCTCAATATACACGAATATATCATTATTTTCATCATTTAATTAGTGTTTTGATATGGAAATTTGGAGAAAATTGTAGAAATCTCATAAAATGAATTTTTCAGATTTCGATGTCGATTCGGAGTCGGATTTGAGAGAAAGTAATATGGTTAGACTCATAATTGAATGGGTTATCGAATTTTGTGAGTTTCGTCGGATTTCGAGACATGGGCCCCACGGGCAATTTTTGGATTAAATTTCAGATTTTTGTTAGAAAAATTATATTTCCTTATGGAATTTATTGCTATAATTTGTATTGATTGAATCGAATTAATTATGATTAGATTCAAGCCGATTAGAGTTGGAAAATCGAGGAAAAGGCATACTACTTGAGTGATTGAGCGTGGTTTGATATAAGTGACTTGTCTAACCTTGTGTGGGGGAAAATTTCCCTTAGGATTATTGATATAAAAATATTTATGTGTTGAAAGTCGTGCACATGAGGTGACAAGTGTATACACGGGCTAAATGTGGAAGATTATGTCTTTAAATTGTGTAAAGCGTTGTTGCATATTAATTAAATTATTTTATTCTGTTATATTCATCATCCTTAATATATTTTCCTATCTTAAATTTGCCTGACCTATTCCTACTAAGTGTGTTACCTATTTAGTTGGCACTCTGTATCTTTTGTTCTGTGCATTATTTGAAGGATAAATTTCTTAAATTTAAATATTATTAAAAATGAAGTATTTTACATTTAAAATTTTGATATTTAGACAAGGTGTTAAATTTGTGAAATATTATTTTTGCTGAATATTTTGTGAGATTTTTGTACTCATTGTGATTGAGCCGTGAGCTCTTTATTGTGAAAAAATATTGTTGTTATTGATTTATTTTGGCATGAGCCTTGAGCTCTTTATTGTGAAAAAATATTATTGTTGTTGATTTATTTTGGCATGAGCCGTGAGCTCTTTATTGTGGAAAAATGTTGTTGATTTATTTTGGTAAGTTGAAATATTTGGACACTTGAGGTGCAAATTGTGATATATTGTGATATTAATACGCATGCGGTGGTATAAGGTCCGGGTGTTGAAACGCATGCGGTGAGATAAGGGTGGCTTGATACGCGTGACTAGTAAGGGAACTACTAGAAGTCATGCGGTGTGATAAGGTGGCTAAAACGCGGGATGGTATTTAAGAAAAAATATTTTCTTTAAAATTTAATGTGAAGGCTCCCGTGGTGATATAAGAAAATGAGATATTATGAATTTATTTATGATTTGGGACTACGAAGCGGTACCTCGGGAGTGCCCTTGTTGATATGTCTTTATGGCTGCATTGCCTTTGGTTATTTTTGATGTTTTTCTTAAAGTTGTAAATTTCTGTTTTCCTTCCGCGAGGTGTTAATTGCCCTTATTCTGTGTAGTCAAATTGTGACAAACTACTTACTTGATTTATCCCTATTGTCATTATTGTTATTATATTATTAAACTTTTCTCCCTGTATTTTATTATTTCCAGTAGGGCCTGACCTGACCTCGTCACTACTCTACCGAGGTTAGGCTTGGCACTTACTGAGTACCACTGTGGTGTACTCATACTACGTTTCTGTACATCTTTTTGTGCAGATCCAGGTACATCTTATCAGACCAGGCATCAGTGAATTAGCCGTACGAGGAGACTTCGAGGTATATCTGCCAGCGTCTGCAGACTCCGGAGTCCCCTTCTATCCTTATTATGTTGCTTCCTTATTTTCTTTAGACTCTGATATATAGAGATATTGAGGATAAATCCTTAGAAGCTTGTGACTTATCTCTACTGGGTTTTGGGAGTTGTAATTATTTGAATTGCAGTTTCATTTATTTTAGATTTCTATTGTTATTCCGCTATGATAGACTTACCTAATTTTAGAAATTAGGTGCCATCACGATATCCTACAGAAGGAATTTGGGGTCATGACAAGTTGGTATTAGAGCTCTAAGTTCATAGGTGTTATGAGTCACAAGCAAGTTTAGTAGAGTCTCGCGGATCGATACGGAGATGTCTGTACTTATCTTCGGGAGGCTATGGAACTGTTAGGAAAATATTCACTTCTTTGATTCCTTATCGTGCGCATTGTTGACTTCGAAATTCCAAACCATTATCTTCTTATTCTTTCATAGATGGTGAGGAAACTCACAAATGGATCTGATGATCAAACACTCGCGCCCCATGTTGGAGCCGCAAGAGGTTGGGGTCGGGGTAGAGGTCGAGCCAGAGGCCGAGGAAGACCACGTGGTGTAGCCAGAGCACCTACACGAGCTGCTGCAGAGGAGCCACCAGTAGCTCCAGTTAGAGAGCAGGCACCTGAGACGCCTGTTACTACCCCTGCACTTCAGGAGACTCTTGCCTAGTTTTTGAGCATATTTGGTACTCTAGCTCAGGGAGGGTTAATTTCACTTGCTCCTGCCACACTCACGCCGGGGGAGGAGCACATACTCCCGTCGCCCGTACCCCAGAGCCACGGTCCCAAGTTTACCATGCCTTAGAGGTTATACCAGTGCAGTAGTTGTCC